CCATGTCTGGGGCTTCGTCATGTGCTGATGGCGGCCCATGAGTACCTTTGCTTAGCGGAGATCGGAAACTAGAGATGCTAGGCTCTGGCCACCAGTCGTTGGTTTCGCTGAGCCGCCTTCTCTTGAAAAGTCCGTTTCGACTCCTTGCAGGCGCGAAACACCCATTTTCAGATTCACGACATCCTTGAAGATTTGGGCGACCGTGTCGTCACGGGCCTCACCCGCGACCACAAGCGTCTTAGAGCGATGACAGAAGAGCCAGACGAGCCCCCGCGCCGCCGCCTGCGCAGCCACGGACCGGCAAGCGAATGAAGAAGGAGATAGCTAGTCTCTACGTATGCGAAGTCTTTGTGTAATGATGTAGATAACGCGAAACACATTCATATACGTTATGTACTGCACTACTGGTCGATGAAATTTCCTTGCTACTGGAAGTGTACACTGACTGGTATCAAGGTATTGTACTGCAATCAATATCAATCACCATCCAATACACTGACTGCTACAATTGTAGTGCTGTCAAAGCGTGCTCTCCAAGAGTGCTGCGACTAAGCCGCGTCGGCAAGGCCCAACTGTTTTGGACGCGAGGCGTGTGAATGGCACAAGCTGAAATTATTTATTTACCTGTACTAATACATGTGATGCGCACATATCAACCGCTCCCCTGATAGCGAGGTTACGTACTAGTAGCGCATCGCTCTTCTTTCACACAAACAGTCAACGCAATTGAAGCGAAGAAGGCAGGGACAAAACCAGCCGTTGTCGGGCGAAACTGAGACGCCTTGTTTCGTTGACAGAACGCAAGCAGAGGCATCATCGACTGTCACTGATGACACGGAAATCGGACCTGAGAAACAATGGAATCAAGCACGCAGATTCGCTCCCTTCGTACACAGGCAACTGTCTCCAACCCACCGCTTTCCTAGTGTGCAAACTCGCTCGTCTCGCTCCTCATTTCAAAAACGAACGCACCCACCTCACGTTGATTTACTGTATTTTGTGCAATGGTCGCCCGCGTGTACCCCACCACCACCAAGGAGAGAGCCAAGCAGCCCGAGATATTTCGCCACATCGAGTTTCCAACGCTGGACTCGTACCTCAACGACTTCGACATTGTCCTGACCGAGACCTCGTTTACGCTATCCTCGACAAGTGTACTTGACGCTGCGTGGGAGTGCTTTCTCGGCCTCTTTTAGTCGTCGCTTGATGCAAAGAATGCTCAGAGAATGCAAACGCCCCTTACTTTGACTATTGTAAACATGTAAATAACACCCGACGGCTTGCACTCCTCTGCCGGGTGGTCCGAGTACAGGAGCCTGCGTACGACCTCGCGCGAGCTATGACTCGGCGAGTGGGGTCCACCGCGGGATGGACCTCTCCGTACGCAGCTCACTCCCAACGACCAAGTGCTGGAGCCAACTCCCACGCATTCAGGCGTAGCGCTACGTATGCGAAGTCTTTGTGTCATAATGAAGATAACGCGGAACACGTTCATATATATGTAAATTGTCATGGAATTGATGTGCTTGCTTACTTTACGTGCGCTCATCGGCCTCGAGCGAGAGGGGTCAACGACGCATGCACAATACGGAACGCACGGCAGTGAGCTAAATTCGAGCTAGCGTCGTGCCAGGCCCATCTCGCGTGCTAGTATGGAAAGCTACTACGAAATCCATGATGCAGCTCGCAACTCCAAAACGCATCAGACAGGATCGACTGATAATGCGCAAACACGTCGCAAGTTGGTGGTATGCTTCCCGTCTTATCACGATTTTGCGAATGGGGGTGCTTTGTTCAAAAATGCATTGTGTCGTTGAAGGACGTTGTCGAGATTAGCTATTTTTACATTTTAGATATATACTGTGCAGCGCTGATGTGCCAAATTAGCGCCATGCACTACAGCTTGTACTGTACATGGGCGCAGAAGCCACTTTTGGCGTAATCTTAAGCAGCCGTCGGCGGTGCGGAGGTCATAAAGAGGTGCTTGAGGTATTCGAGGCCAGCAATAAAGACCGACACGGCGTCCATGTCGTCCATGTTGGCGTCCGTTTCAAAGGTAAAGTCGTGGAAGTACGTGTAGATGTTGGGCAACTCGACGTCGTCGTTGCTGGTGTAGTGCACGCTGTTCATGGCGTTGCTAAGGACTGGCGTGGGAAGGATCGTGTCGAGGGAGGCAGGCATGGTTTTGGAAAGTGA